TGCTGGGGACCAAGGCAGAGGTGATTAGGGGCAATCAGGCAGGGAGGTGAGTGGTTAGGAATGATCAGGCAGGCAGGTGAGCAGTTAGGAGCCAGCAGTCCCGGATTGAGAGAGGGATGTCGGACTGCCAGTTAAGGCTCGATCCTGTAGGTGCCCTAGGATCGGACCTAAACTGGCAGTCGGACACTCCCTAAGGGGTCCCGGATTGAAAGAGGGTGCAGGCTGGGCTGAAGGACCCCCCCTTCCCCGTGTACGAATTTTGTTTTATAAATACTTTTATAAATAATTTATCAGGCTTTCAAAGTCAAAACAGCCCCTAATTCTATTCTATGAAGAGTTCAATTTCCTAAACTGCAACATGAAAATAGTCAAATTTTCCCCAAAAATGTTTTTTTAATATTTGATTTCATTTATTCTTTTAATTAGTAAAGCAGAAAACAAAGACCTTGTAATAACTGATTGATCAGTATAAGGTGTCATTTTCATTTTATGGGTTAACGTTTGCTAGGTCTGATATTATAAAAGCTACCCTAGTTTCCTTTACAGTAGAATTTTCACTTCATCCATACATTTATATTTAACCTTTCTGTATTCTTACGTTTAAACTGTGTCATTGACAATCAATATAAAGTTGCTGCTTACAGCTTACATTCAGAGGAGATTAAATTTGCTCTACAGCAGACTGGGCTGGGAGCTCTAGGCATCCAAACCACCCTAATCCAATAAAAATTAAGACGATTTCAATCTGGGGTTAGGTGTCTCTTAGACTGGTCTATTTCCATCTCATCCTAACTGTGTGTGTGTGTGTGTGTGTGTGTGTGTGTGTGTGGCGGGGGGGGGGGGTGTTCTGTTCATTGTCTTCTTTTCTAGTTAACACTCAGGTGGTGGTTGGTGTCATTGCTGGAAATAAAAATAAGGAAAGTTTTGTAGTGAAATACTTTACAATGTGTGATATAAGTCATCATTGATCTCCCAAGAAATTTTTAAATAAAATATACACCCCTTCCCCCCAATGCTTTTAATGCAAGAATAACTCACTAGTGCTTTCTGCTAAAATTAGGGTTGCATCCTGTTTCCTGGTCAGTCTGAGACAAAAACAGGTTTCCAACAGGAACAGTATGTGGATTAAGAGTGTGTTTGGAATGGGAGTACAGGCACACACACGAGATGCTCAGCTCAAAGTGTCTCATAATTTAGCTAGGTCAGGCAACAAATTCTAAAAATAGAACTTAGGTTGAGCAAGGTCAGCTACTGTCTCTGCTTTGCATAAAAGGTGGTTTCATAACAAAAGACAGGAAAGTGACACATATTTGACATTACATAACTTTTTGAAATCTCATTGTAAGAAATTCAAGTTAATGGTTAATTTACAAATTGTCACTTTAATGAATCTTTAAAACCAATACCTGGTTAGATTGTTTTAGATCATCAAAATCACTTCATTTATGTTAGAAAGCAATATGCAAGAGCGATACAAATTGTTAAATGTTATGTGAAATAAATATACTCATTGGATGAACATAATATAAGGGCCTGGCAAGGATTACTGTTGTAAATATTTAATCATAAGGCGTCTTCTAAAGACACCTTGAAGTGAAATTCTAATGTACAGGTATATTCTTTCCTCTCAAGGGCCATAGCTAATTCCTTATGCTTGCTCATTACTGCCTTACTAGAATGAATAAAATATTTGATTTGCTATTAAATAATAAACTAGAGTTGGCTAAACCAATGCTTTATTTTAAATAAGTCATGCTTTTTATGCTAAAATTCACTTGTTATCTATACTTCAAGTAGATAAAATTAAGCTTTAAATTTGGTTTTATCAGTATTAATAGGACTATTGTTCTGAGGAAGTTAGTTTTAGGTTAATCAGAATTTTTATTTTTTCAAATGTATTTTAACTGGAAAGAGTACAATTTTTTAGAGTAGGTCTGCTATAGAAAAAATATCACCAACTACCTTAGAAGTAGATTTTACTTTTCATTACCATCTTAAACAATTTGTTAAAAAACAAACTACTTGGTTACACATATTGTGGATAATATACTGTGTGCATTTAGTTCTTACATTTCCCACAGATTAGCCATGAGAAATTAGACTAATTGTTTTCCTTTCTGATCCTCAACTTCTTCATCTGTAGAATCAAATAACATCCCTACCTTGTATGTCTGGGGTATTCATGATAATGTCTACAGATGCATGGAGCATCTGGTACCTAGTAGATATGGAAAAGCCAGCTCTTATTTTAAATGCTAAGAAGCTTAGATTTGTACACTAATACACATATCAGCAATGAAATGTGATTACAAACATGTCAAATTTAGTAAGTAAAACAAAAATCTGACTCAGGTAGGGCCTTTTTCTTGAAACTATCAGCTTCTTTATAACATTCTAGAGGCCCAGTGCACAAAAATCGTGCATGGAGAAGGTTGTCCCCTCAGCCCAGCCTATACCCTCTCCAATCTGGGACTCCCTCTTGCAATCCAGGACCACTTGTTCCTAACCATTCACCTGCCTGCCTGACTAATGCCCCCAACAGCCCTCCCCTTCCAGCCTGGTTGCCCCCAATGACCCTCCTCTGCAGGCCTAGTCATCCCCAATGGCCCTTCCTTGCAGGTTAGATCACTCTCAATTGCACTACTCTGCCAGCCTGGTTGCCCCCAAATGCCTTCCCCTGCCACCTGATCGCCCCTAACTGCCTCTGCATCAACCCCCATCACCATGGCTTTGTCCAGAAGGAAGTCAGACATCCAAAAGATGGTCTAATTAACAAGTTACCCTTTTATTAGTACAGATAGATTATATAGGATAGGGTTGCTTAAATGAGGGGGAGCCTTTTTCAGCAGAAAGAGATGCTTGCCACCAACTGCCATCCCATACCAGCCTTGTCACCCCCAACTGCCCTCCCCTGCAGGCCCGGTTGCCCTTAATTGTCCTTCCCCATTGGCCTTGATATCTCCCCCAATTGCCCTATCCGTAATGCCAAATATAGTAGTATTTAAAAGTATCTATTAAAAGTGTGTAGATAATAGAAATATGGACTGAAATGCCCAGCTATGGACACTGAGCCCAGTTCTGGTCACACTGATGTGTTTCAGGCCCTCTTTGTAAAAAGCACTAAGACTCCACTTCAAGATCAGTGTGTAGATCTGTTTGCTCATAAAACTTTAATTGCATAAATGTTAAGGACCAGTAGCCGATAACAAAGGTCTAATTCCTCACCCGTAGGTATCCTAGCCACTTATCCAAATGCAATTGATTTTCTTTAAGAAATAAAATAAAATAAAATAAAATCAGTCGATTTGTGCATTTCATACTGCAATATTGTAAATGAAAAGAAAAAAAGTTATTTCACTGTTTGTTTTAGAACTGAGGTGAATGTCATGCAGTTTCATAAAAATGTAATCATTTAAATTGTGAATGGGTTAGAATCAGTCTTAATGCAAAAGTTCTCCGGGTAATTTATTTTTGGTGGAGGTGGGGGTGGATGTGTGTGGGAGGAGTCAGGGACGGTGGGGGTTGTGGTGGTGGGGGGAGTTCTTTGCTGGCAGGTCTGACTCTTCTCCCTTCACCAGATCATAAGGCAGAAATCTCCATTCAGGAATGGGCCCTGGTGGTCTGCCTTTAACCATTTCACTCTTCACTTGCAGGATTCAGAGAGCTGAATACTTTTGCACCCACTTAACTTCATTAAAAAAGAAATTCACCTTAATTCTAAAATGCACGCTTTATAAGAAGAGTGTTTTCCTTCCTGCTCATAGTGATGAAAGAATGTGTGTGCCTCTGTGTGTGTGTGAGAGTGTGTGAGTGTGTGTGTGCGCCTGTGAGTGTGTGTGTGTGTGTGTGTGTGTGAGAGTATGTGAGTGTGTGTGCCTGTGAGTGTGTGTGTGCCTGTGTGTGTGTGTGAGTGTGTGTGTGAGAGTGTGTGAGTGTGTGTGTGCGCCTGTGTGTGTGTGTGTGTGTGCCTGTGAGTGTGTGTGTGTGTGTGTGAGAGTGTGTGAGTGTGTGTGTGCCTGTGAGTGTGTGTGTGTGTGTGAGTGTGTGAGTGTGTGTGTGTGTGTGTGTGAGTGTGTGTGAGTGTGTGTGTGCCTGTGTGTGAGTGTGTGTGTGCCTCTGTGTGTGAGTGTGTGTGTGCCTGTGAGTGTGTGCCTGTGAGTGTGTGAGAGTGTGTGAGTGTGTGTGCCTGTGAGTGTGTGTGTGTGAGTGTGTGAGTGTGTGTGCGCCTGTGTGTGTGTGTGTGTGTGTGAGAGTGTGAGTGTGTGTGCGCCTGAGAGTGTGTGTGTGTGTGTGTGTGTGCCTGTGTGTGTGTGAGAGTGTGTGAGTGTGTGTGCGCCTGTGAGTGAGTGTGTGTGTGTGTGTGTGTGTGTGATGTCCTCCAGTTCCCAGCTAACTGGTTGCCAGCGTTCCTGGGAACCTGAGGGCACTTTGCAAAGCCCCAGAGCTCTAAGGTGGACATCACAGGTGTCCTGGGCATTGCAAGAGCCCTGGTGTCGGATGACGTCATACATAGGTACGTTAACGGGATGTTGCTTGGAGAAAACCCAACCCACTTGGGATAAGAATTGGGGCTGATCCTTGAAAAGTAGGGGGGCATCATTTCTTCACATGGTAGCTGCCTGCACGCCTGCCAGGCTCTGCATTAGAGGAGGGACCTGAGCTCCCCTCAGTCCTGGAGACAACCAGGCTGTCATTCAGCCGCCAAGGCTGAGCCAGTGACACCAGCTCCGCCCCTTCCCCTCCAAGCCCCTTCCCTCCACTCCGCCCTCTGGCGGCCAGCAGAGGGCTGTCCGGAGAGAGCTGAGCGGGAGCCTGACCAGCGGTTTAGAAAGATCGGAAAGGCACAAAGGAGGACCCGGGAAATGGGCACGGAGGCTGCCCGGGGGGCTGGTGGAAGTCCTTGCAAACAGCTCGGTGGGCTGAGCTCGCCCAGCAGGGTGGCTGCTGCAGAAGAGGGGAGGGTCTCAGGGAGACACGGCCCGGACCGGGCTGCCACTCACGCGTGTCCGGCCTCCTCCGAGTCGCTGTCCGAGGCCCCCTCCTCGCCGATGCCCGGCAGCGTGAAGAGGAGGGTCCGGGGGCCAAGCTGGCGGGGCTTCCGTGGGCTCCAGGCTGAGCGGCTGCTGCCCGCTGCGCCCCGGATGGAGGGCAGCGCCGCCCAGACCCCGCCTGGGACCGGGGTCCACAGCGCTCCCGCCCCCAGGGGCTCCGGGGAGCTCTGCGCTCTGCAGCCCCCGCTCCATGGGGCCGGGGGCAGGGCCGGGTTTGGGGGCAGTTCTCGGGGCGGGTCCTGGGGCAGGTCCGGGGGCAGGTCCGGAGGCAAGTGCTGGGGCAGGTGCTGGGGCAGGTCCTGGGGCAGATCCTGGCTCGGGGACAGGACTGGGCTCGCTCTGGGGCTACTGGCCAAGGAGACCCCGGGGCGGGAGACGTGGAGCTGCGGCCGGGGCGCGGAGGGGGCCCGGGCGGGGGGCAGGGGCGGGGAGGGTGGCGCCCAGGCGGGGGGCAGGGGCGCGGAGGGCGCCCGGGCGGGGGGCAGGGGCGGGGAGGGGGACCCCGCGCCCGCGGCGCCTCCGGATCCGCTGGAGCTCGCGCCGGGGGAGCGGGCCGCCGCCGGGGTCTTGAAGATTCTGGAGAAGAGAGAGCCCAGGTCCCCCACGGCGCCCTTCATGGCGCAGACCTGGAAACGCCGCCCGCGCTGCAGCCGGAGCCTCTGACCCCGGGGAGCCGGGCTGCGGGGCTCCAGCCGCCCCTGCTCGCGAGGGTCCGGAGGAGGCGGCCCGGGCGGGCGGGGGTCCGGGGTTCCCGGTGGCCGGGGCCCCCTCGGGGCCGCTGGTGCGCTCCCCACGCAGAGGAGCGTCTCTGGGCGCTCAGCCCCGAAGCCCTGGGACCCCCTTTCCGACGCCCAGATGCTCCCGGGCTGAGGCTGCGGGGCGGCGGCCCCTCTGCCCCTCTCTGTCCGGGCCCTGAGCCCCAGCGCCCAGGAGGCGGCTGAGGGTGCGGGTGGGGCCCCTGGGCCTGCAGGACGCGCAGGCGGTTGCTAAGCTAAACAACAGCCCTGCCCTCTCCCCGCTCACTGCGCCTGGACTGCAGCTCCTGCAGCTCAGGGCTGTGTCCACAGCAGGCACCCAGGCTCCCTCCTGGAGACCTGCCTTAAAGGAGCGCCGTCCCATTTCCCCAGCGCCCTTTGGGCTCTGGGCGGAGGGCGAGGAGCTGGAACAGAGGGAGATGGCCCTGCTTCCAAAGGAGCTGGAGCCTCTCTAGTCTGACAAGACCAGCTGGGCCAGGGCAGGGGCGGCCAGCTCTCTGGCAGCCGGGAAGGCTGGTAAACAAACAAACAAACAAACAAACAAACAAACCCCACACCTGTTCTCAGGTGAGGGGACTTGAGTGAGCAGTGCCCACTCCCCCACTTTCAGGGCCAGGTTCAAAGTGTGCCATTAGCTGAAACCGGTTTGGCTCAGTGGATAGAGCCTGCAGACTCAAGGGTCCCGGGTTCGATTCCAGTCAAGGGCATGTACCTTGGTTGTGGGCACATCCCCGGTAGGGGGTGTGCAAGAGGTGGCTGATCGATGTTTCTTTCTCATTGATGTTTCTGACTTTCTATCCTTCTCCCTTTCTCTCTGTAAAAAAATCAATAAAAAAAATATATATATATATTTAAAAAGTGTGCCACTAAAAATGACACCGCGGGTGCCTCACCCAAGAACTTGGAAATAAGACGGGGGCCCTGGTAGCTGAACTAGTAACATCCACATACAGGGTATGTGGTTAACACCCATCTGATCGGACCAAGAGATTTAACAACTCAAATGTTTCAGAACTCGAATGATAATCAGATCAATCGATACAAACTCCAAGGCAGATATAAGAGGTAAGAATTTCTTATTAAGTGGAATACTGTTGGAAGCTACCCATAGTCTATCAGGAAATTGTAAACAAGAAACCCGGAATGCAGGTGAACCTTGAGTTCTGGCAAGGCCCAAAGCTATGCACAGATTATTAGTCAAGACAATGGTGGCTCAAGCAATTTCCTGACCAAATAATCTCAATGTAAATCTTTACTAGTATTTACTGACTTTTAAGATGGTCTGCCTGCTAATGGAATTGCCTGCAAAACTAAGAGCGATATGTGTATCTAAAATTGAATAAAATGTTGGCAGGGCCTGGACACCAATGACTCCTGTCTTCTTCAGAAAGACTATCCTGGTCCCCTGTTTACAAATTCATATTTTTTGTCTAGTCTTGTCATTTGCCTGCAGCCCTTCTCCAGAATCTGAACCTTGGCCACACAGGATGTGGCTTCTCATATCTGGTGCCTCAAACAAAGGACCTCTGGAGAAGAATATTTGCTGGAGCAAAAAAACGAAGCTCACCAGATAGGTAGGGAAGAAATGACTGAAAAGGTGGGGAAAATTCTCCACATGCAACCCACATTAGCTGCAGAAATCGCAAACTATAAGTAAGGTGGGAATGTCTTTTTAGCCAGGCTAATGGGGCAGAATTCGGTTAAAAAGAAAGAAACTTTATTGTAGACATTTGGTTTGTATGCTCAAGGATAAAAAAAATTAAAGTGTCAGAAAGTATTCTCTTACAGTTTTTGCATATTATTATAGACCATAATCCTTGATTTCCTGAAGGTGGTACATTAGATGTTGAATGTTGGGAAAGTGTATGTCAGAACTTGAAAAAAAAAGCAGCAGGGGAAAAACTTGCCTCCAAATTGTTTCTCCTTGTGGAACACGGTATTGCATTTGCTAGAGCCTTTTAGAGAGGCAAAAGAGAATAAACCTCTTCCCCCCACAATCATCACTCCTAAAGAGGAGCAGAAAGAAAAATCGGAGGAACGGCCCTAATGGCCCCCTCCATCTCCATGTCCTAATCCTGAAACACTTAATTCACTACTAATAGAATCACCTAGGCAAAGAGCTATCCGTGAAGGATTAAAGGATATGACAGTGGAGGAGAGACTTGCTTTTCCCATTATATAGGTAGCTGACCCACATTTCCCAAATCAGGTAATAAGCAATGACTTACAGAATGAGCTAAATTATATGCAAAAAGCTTATGAGCAAATTAGACTTCATGGAAAAAACAGGACATAAAAAAAAAAAAAAAAAAAAAAAAAAAAGAATGTAGGCAACCAAAATGGACACAAGGTGGCACTCAAGGGAAAAGCATAAGCATTCTACTTCCCAATTCAATCAAGGCAGATTCAACCTCTTTAAAATCCCTTAGAAAAAGGGAAGTAATTAAAATATTATTACATCTTTTATTTTTTTTATTTTTTAAAAATATATTTTATTGATTTTTTACAGAGAAGAAAGGAGAGGGATACAGAGTTAGAAACATCGATGAGAGAGAGACATCAATCAGCTGCCTCCTGCACATCTCCCACTGGGGATGTGCCCACAACCAGGGCACATGCCCTTGACTGGAATTGAACGAACTTAGGACCTTTCAGTCCGCAGGTCGACGTTCCTTCCATCCACTGAGCCAAACCAGTCTTGGCAAAATATTATTAGATCTTTTAGTGATCCTGTAAAATGGACACCTACACTCTCTAAAGTATTATTAAAAGTCTCATTTTTACCATGTTTTTATTTCCAAGTCCATCATTTAAACTTTAGACAAATGTGACATTTCTCAGAATTTAGGGATGCGTCTGGGATTTCTTTACTCTTAAAGAGAAAAGCAAGCTTAAGAAAATGCACACACATCACCTGATTTTTGGGTGACTTCTTGAACCCAAATATCTTCATGGATACTATAGAATAAACCCAAAATTTCTTTTTCTTTAAAAGATGGCAAAAATGACACAAGAAAATATACAAGCTGTATTTGAGCAACAGGATTAATGTTTCCATAATAATGGTAATTTTTAATAATAATGTACCACATTCCAAAGTTGCCTCTCAAATATTGGAAGCACTCCTATTTTTATAAAATAAAAATAGTAATACTTTATCATTAAAGCCACTGAAAGTCAGTAAGTTATCTCTGTTACAAAATTTGCCAAAAGAAAATGCCTTGGATAGTAATTAGCTTTAAAATCTCAAAGTTGTTAAAACATAAATAATTAGATATAACTAAATGAAGAATTTGTGGTAAAGTTTCTTAATAATAATTATAAACATGTTAGTGATAAAAATCTAGTCGCTTTTCTCCCTGTAAAAGTGGAGAACCAGGTAGCAGCAGCAACCTTAAAATGTTATCTCTAAGAAGAATATAGTAGTTTTAAAATTCAAGTGGGCCTGCTCTCTTCTCTCCTTGCCTTTTTCACCAGCCTCAAACATAATTTTTCCAAAATTTTTGGTAACTTAAAATTTTAGAACATTGCTGAATTAAATAATAACATTATTAAATATCTAGGTATTTTAAAATGACAAAAATACTGAAATATTAACCTGAGTTTACCTCATATAAAAAATCTAAAGGATAAATTTGAATCTATTAATTAAATGTCTTGTATTTTATTTAAAATATATCCTTAGCCGAAACTGGTTTGGCTCAGTGGCTTGTGGACTGAAGGGTCTCAGGTTTGATTCCAGTCAAGGGCATGTGGGCACATCCCCAATAAGGGGTGTGCAAGAGACAGCTGATCAATGACTCTCTCATCAATGTTTCTAACTCTCTATCTATCTCCCTTCCTCTCTGTAAAAAATCAATAAAGATATATTTAAAAAATAAATAAATAAAATATATCCTTAAAATGTAAAAACCTTACTAATTTGAGAAATGCTAAGTATTTAACTTGCCACCTAAAATTTGAGGCTTCTAAAAATTTAGTTAAAATTAAGTCAGAAGAAATTATATAGAGTTCATAAAGTTTAGAAATTCATTTTTGAAAAAATTAATTTTTATATTTTCTCTGGAGAAAGTAGAAGTTCAAAATATATTATAGTCCTCAGTGTACTATGCATGGTAAAATTTCAACTTAGGATGTAATATTTTATTGGCCTAATTAAAAAAGGAGGATTAATTCTATGATTTGAACCAAATTTTAATATAAAAACTAGTTTAAATTTAATTAATATCTTTTAGAATAATTACAAAAGTTATGTTGAAAATGTCAATCTAAAAAATGCTGGCTGTTTACTTTTAATTTT